TCCATCTTCTGAGAGATGCCTGTGCAACTCGTACACCTCCTTAGCATCTGTGTCGTTGTGTGGTCGTGGGAGATGGCCGGTCTTCTCGGCAAACGCATGTAGTGCTTGCACACCGACGTGCAATTGAGCTGGACGATCGAACTTGGCGAAGTCCGAGATGAGTGCCTCTGGCTTGGTGAGCTGGGTGCTGAGGCTCTCAAAGTCCAAGATCTTGGGCATCTTGACCTGCTGGTATAGACCACCGCGCTGATACTGTCCAGCACCGGCAGGAAGCTCGATCTGGAAGGTGTATGGGCCCTTGACGGCAATCTTGCGTGGTGTGCCATCGTTCAGCTGTTCAATGCCCTCCACTTCTGAAAAGGTAACGAAATCGCCATCTTCTAAGCCGTGTCGTGTCTCGTCCAACGCCGATACCAAGCCTTGCTCATCGATGCCTGCAACAATGCCGCTCAGTGGGTTCTCGCCAGTGGGATCGCCAACAGTGAAGTTCTTGCCAAAGTCCGTAAAGATGTATCCGAATAGACCGAACGTGTCGGTGATGACGATGTAGATGCCGTTGTTGTGGCAGAACTCTGCAATCTTGAGCTGATCTGACAGTTTGGTATCTGTCAGTACGACGACTTGGTATCGCTTCAGCTCTTCGAGATCATCCAGACCGCCTGGATGTACGTCGACGGGTGTGTATGGGTTGAGCTCTGAAACACGTGGTGCCGTCACTTCAGCGCGCGGCTTGCCCACGTCTTCAGGATGCAGGAAGAATTGACTGGAGAGGTCTTGAATGCGCGCAGGCTTGGGATCCCACAGCGTCAGACTCTTCACACCAGCCAACGCAATATTCTTCGCAATCTCCACGCCCAGCCCACGCAAGCCAACCACGAGCACCTTGCTGCTGCCCATGCGCTTCATGGCCTCGTGGCCCAGCACATACAGCTGCCGACTGTACAAGCTCTCATCGATCTCGCCGTTGCCATCGCTGGCGTTTTTCAGCTGCTCGGCAGCCTTGGCCGGGTTGTCGAGGTCCATGTTCGCAGCGCCGTTGCTGCTGCCGTGGGGCTCGGCCATGCTTCTCTTCTTGTTGGGTGAGTCGGTGTGGTGGGTATTGATAGGCGGCGACTCTGCCCTTCTCTTCATATGAGCGAGTCGTTATTTTGTGTTTGTGGTGGGTGGTGTGAGTGTGCCTACGCCGTGTCCCAACTCCAAGCTGTGACTGCTACCACCACCACAAACAGCACACGCCGCTGGTGCTATGCTACGCTGTGCTGGGCTGTGCTGCGCTGCCAGTCGTTCTCACTCAAGTCGTCTCGAAGTTTTGCCGGGTCGAGGGAGAGTGGTGTTGTGGTGATGGATATGGGAGATGGAGAGAGTGTGACAGTGGTTTGTGCGTGGGCGGGCGGAGTGTGAGGGTTGTGAGGCAGTGAGAGCTGCAGTGTTTGAGAGGGAGACGGAGAGATGACCTAAGCCTGCGGCGTCGCGGCTGCAGGGATTTCGAGTGCCTGAATTGATGCCTCGCGGCTTCCAAAATGTCTAACGCTACCCCTACCGCTATCTTGCAATTCTATTCTCCAAAAGTGACACCCTCTCAGCGCCTCGCTTCAAATCCCCAGTCACGTCTGCTCCCTCATCGTCGTTCCCTCCGCATTATACTCCGGATCGACTTTGCTCTGCTTGAACAAACTCTTCCCCTTGAGCCACTGCCGATATGCCTTATACCGCTTCTTCGGCAAATCCTCGTCCGTCACTGTCAGAGGGTCTTGTTTCTCTTCCAAGTAGTCCCAATAATGCTCCAAGTCCTCTTCGCTGACTCCTTGGCCGAATGTCTCTTCGTCCTCAAAGTCTTCAAACGCGTTGGCACCAGCCCCATTCACATATTCAACATAGTCGATGTTGGCATCTGAAGGCAAGTCGGTCGATGTGACAAGAGGTATGTTTGTTGGGTGTGATATGTATCGCGCGTATTCCGATGCCTCTTCGTTTGACACGTGAGGATTTAGAGACTGGACGTGGAACTGGTTCAGCGTCCACAGATGCATCTGCGCCTTGTCTGCTGGTCTAAAGGTATCCGATGTAGGTGTAGCTTGTGCCTTCATCAACACTGGAATATCCTTGTACACAGTCTCGCGAAGAATGCTGGAAAGTTCCTCCATGTTCGCAGTTGGAGGTCTTTCCGACAGCTGAGATGCCTTTTCTGTGCTCTCCTCTGATGGATCCACAATCTTGACTCCTTTCCTCTGCGTCCTTTTCTCGGGCGAGTCGGCGTGTCTGTTTGGGTTCACTCTCCGAACAAACGGACTGAAATCACTTTTGCTCGCGCAATTTGCTTTATCTGGAATGAAGTGCTCGTTGTAGGTTTCCATCAGTCGTGAAGAGTACGTCTTGTCGAGAGACGAGATCCTCGACGGAGGATATGTCTCTCTCCAATAGTCATCAAATGCAGCCACGCCTCGTTTCTCGAGCTCGGTAGCAACACGCTGATTGTAGATTCGAGGTGGCACCGTCCTGGGCTCCAGATACTCTGGCGTATACCACTCGATGTAATTCCTTCTGTTGCGTGTCAACCATGCTTTAGGATCGCTGTGATGCAGATAGTAGTCAGTCGAGAGGTCCCATAGCATAGGCTGTCCTGCTGCCCATATGTAATTTCCAAGGAACAGGTTGTACGCTTCTTGCCGTTGACTGTCTAGGAAAGAATTGTGGTAGTAGCGCTTGAAGCTCTCCACCATATCCCGCGAGGAGCTTTGCCAATGCCCCAGCTTGCGGTAAGTGGCCATCGTGTTCACCAAGTGAGAACCTCCATATTGCATGGCGATGTTGTCTCCGTGATCGTGGAACATTGCAGTGAATAAATTGACCGCATCAGTGTCGTAATCAACGGAATCCTTGACAATGATTCCCAAAGCTTTCAGTTGCAATGCGAAAGCGTGTTTCCCAACGATGAACTGGGCTGCGTTCGTACGATCCAGGCAGTCAATGCAATTAATTCTTGCGATGCCGTTCTGGACCTTCGTCTCCTGCAGATTCCCATCACCATTGTGAAAAAAGCCAGTCTGGCCAAGGACGTCTTTTGCAATGACTTCAAGACCACCGATAACATCGCTATTCCGGGTTTTGGCAGCGCGAGCCATATCGTACGCCTTATACTGAATCTTCTTGTCCTCTGGCAAGGACTGGTTAAGGTAATCGACACAGTCTTTGAAGGCGTACAGTAGCTTAGACTCTCTTGGTGTCTTCTCTCTCGCCTTCACCAGATTCAATACGTAGATTGGACAGCCATACCTTTGGAAGAGGTGGTCAAAATGCAGCGCTGCAGGCTGGTAGAAGGGATCTGCCAGTTTGATATCGATTGCGGGTTTTGGAGTTACACCACTGTTATCTTGGATCCAGTAAAGTGGGATGCTTCCTCTGTGGTGCAGGTAAGACGTGTAAGTCGGATTGGAGAAGAGGGTTGGCCCGGGAGCATGGAATGAAGTAGTCAGCTTCTCCGCAACGATCTGTTCTGTCTCAACGTCGTTCGCCACGTAGCCGGAGTCGTTCACGCCTCGCTTTAAGAAGCGTGCTCCAGCAAAGAATCTGGATCGTCGACCGATGATTGTTAGGTAGACACTCCGACCAAAGATATTGAGCATTTCTTGATTCAGAAAGCCATGGATGATCGGCAGACACCAGTCGTAGGGATGCTTGAGTGCCTCTACTGCAGGCTTCAGCAAATGGTGATTCCATACGAACATGCCGTTGTACTCATGCGCGGGAACGGTGATGCCTGCATTCATGGCCTCGCGCTGACGGGTGATATTTCGCTGCAGCGAGTGGGTGATGTCGTATGAATAGCTGTAATAGAATGACCTGGTCAAGTCCAGATTGTTGAGGATGCCCAGGAAGCGCGCTTCTTCTGGATTCCGATCGCGCAGAAACGAATTGCTCGAGCCTGTGGTCAAGGGCACAAGCTCGGTGCCTTCGACCTGATACACATAGTGCCCGCCTATCATTGCCACTTGCTTGCGCTTGGTGATGAGCAGCATGTAGTATGCTTCGGTAAAGCGAATGAATCCAAGAACGCCCCAGAAGACGAACTTCTGTCGTAAGCCTCCTGTGGACTTGTTCCCCTCGAGTATGGTCTGCAGTACATCGTTCCGCTCCTTCCGGTCATACACCGTCTCATCCTCAAAAAGCGAGATCTGGCCAGGAGGGCTATTCCTGTCGATGCGCAGAAGCCTGGAATACTTTTCTGTGATATCTGAACCCGTAATCCAGTATCTGGAGTTGGTTTCGTACAAAATGAATTTGTGCATTCGATGAGGTCTAGAAAGCTCGTCTTTGACTTGCGCGGAGCGATGTGCCTTCATATGGTCGTCATTGTCGACGCAGACCTCTCCAGAAACTTCACGTGCAGTAGCGCCGATTCTGGGATAAAGAGGTGGATCTGCCAGAGACCGTGCCGACTCGCTGCTCCCTCTTCGATGCGGGTTCCCAGATTTCACGTATCGGAAACGCTCCTCATCGTCTGTGCTGTCTGTGTGATTGTGATTGAGCCTGCGCAGAGAATCGCTTCGGAAGCCTGCACGCGGCCTGGAAGCGGAAGGGCGGCGGTCTTGTCCTGGCGAGTATGACCTCGGGCGGCTGCCATAGTCACTGTCGCTGGGGCCAGCATCTACCGGCCCTTGGTCCATAATGGCCTATAGCAAGCTCGATGACAGCGCGCATTCATGCCTTGCCACGCACCATGATTCGCTTACCAGACTGCTGGTCGTATTTGTGCTGCTGTGACACCTAGCCCCGCCCAGCCACGTCAGTCTGCGACCACAATACTCACGTGTGCAGCTGTGGTATCCGAAAGCTGAGCAGCTTCCAAGTTGTGCTCGAGAGTCAGGACGTCTGTATCAATGTTGATGTAATGCATTAACAATGAAGAGGCAGTGAGGTTTGGAACCTTCGTCTCGGCAACGCGGGGCGGGCCAAACCTTCCGCTGCAACACACACACACACACACACAAGAACTGCAATGCAGAGACTATTCCCTCGTCCGATATTTCAGCTATACAATAAAGCAAAAATCCTTCGTAACCTGCTCGCCATCCACATTCTCCCCCAATTTCGCATGCCATTTACGTCTCCTTTCCCTATTCTCTCTGCTCAGGTAGATCCGCAACACCAACGCCAGTGCGCTGACCATGAACATTGCCCCTCCTCCCACCAGCATACCTTTCACAAAATATGGAGCGTCGATTTCTCGAAATACTCGTGTTCCAAGGATAGGTCCGCATTGCCCGATGTACTGCATGAGAGCCATGCTGTGATGATCAGCAAATGTTCTAGAACTTTGAAATTCTGGCTTTCTTACCCGGTGCCCTTGGCTTCGTCGGAGGGTTGGTTGTTGATGGTCCATGTGACGATGAGAGTCACGCATGAGAATAGACCCGCGCAGATGGGGAAGAAGGCGAGGTAGCGCAGGAGGTGTCGGACCTGGAGGACAAAGGTTAGCGAGATGTGATTCGAGGACATTGTGAGCAGTGTTTTTCGATTTGAGCTGGTACTGCCTGGGTGAGGTGGGAGTTCGCTTACGTGTGGTCCAGCAATGGCCAGAAATAGATATCCACTTGCAGCTAGCAGCGCATGGGCAATTAACGGGATGCTGCGGTTTCGATGCCGATCCGAGAGCCAAGCTGTGAGAAGGACGACGACGAACGCCGTGAGCATAGGAATTGCAGAGAGACCTTCCGCTGCCACTCGACTGTAGCCTGCGTCTTTCAAAATTACGGGCAGAAAGATAGGAACGCTGCCGAAGCCTACATTCACGCAGAAGAACATGCTGGCAGTGACGTATGCTTTCGGGTCGATTAGGGTCTGTTTGACTTGGTCTGCGGATCGTCAACAAGCGCATTCACATTGAAACTGTACATCTTCAGTCACTTACCCCATCTGAAGACTTGCTCATGTCGAGTAGCCAGTCCGCCCACTCTTGCATCAATGCGAGTCTCCTTACGCTTGCGGAGCCTAGCAATCTTCCGTTCTCGAGAATTGAGCCAGCGTGCTTGACCAGGCGAGTCAGGAAGCCAGTAATACGTCCAGACCGCCACAATGCATGCAGGAAAGCCTTCGACCAAGAAAATGAGCCTCCAGTTCGCTATAGGTAGCAAGTCGCCAAACTTGACAATGATCCAAGCCAAGCCGCTGGCAAAAGATGTCGCTAGAGGCGCTGCTGCGATGAAAATGCCCGTCCGGAAAGCCAGCTCCTCCCGCTTGTAGAAGAACGAGAGGTAGAATGGAATGCCCGTGAATGCTGCTTCGCCGATGCCAAGAAATATGCGCAGCACAATTAGAAATTTAAAGTTGGACACGAGTGATTGTAGGGATGCAATTATGCCCCATGCCGCTACGCAACAGCTGATGAAAACGTGTGGGCGAAAGAACTTGTAGCAGAGTGTCATCCACTCGAAAGCAATGTAGGCGATGTAGAAGGCGGTGATGAGCCATTGAAACTGGTCATCCGTTAACTTCAAGTCTGCGGACAAGCCTGCAACGTTCGCATTTCCTGCGTGTGAAATCAGTGCGTGTTCGAAATGCACTACTTTTCAGCAGCTGAGGCTGTGACAACGAAGCCAAGATTTTCTCTTCGCCCTTGAGCTGAATGCTATAGAATGGGAGGATGATGTACATACCAAGATTGCTTCGGTCGAGGAAAGACATCATATACAGAAATGCCACATATAATGCCATTTTCAGATCCAGCTTGCGAATGACAGCCTTCTCTTCGTCTGGCGTACATAGCTCAAAAGAATGAGCGCTTGAGGCTCTACTTGGTTGCCTACCTATGACTTATCAACTTCAGGGTCAACTCTCACAGCTCTCCTCATGCGAACGAGACAAGCATAGCAAGGCTATCACATTGACACGTGGGGCGCAAGCCGCTCTTTCCTCAGAGAATTATTCTTTGTCCCGTCTGGTCCACTTACCTTGCGCCAAAAGATCATTGTCGACATCATCATCGTCTTCCTTGTCCTCATCTTCGTCGCTCTTCTCAGCACCACCGGCAGCATCCTCACTGCCTTCGTATATCACCCGTCTGCCATGTCGCGCAACCTCTTGAAGCTCATATTCATTCGCAGTGTGTGTCGGGAGGTCGAAGGACTCTTTATCTGATGCGGGAGTGAGAACGCGGTCATTGGCCGGCTCACGATTCGTGATGGACATTATCGATTCAGCCCCATGTTAAGTCGTGTTACAACCCGGCCGCGTGCCCACAAACAAGCACAGCCTTACAGCATATCCGGGGTTCCGTCACACACTCCTCCCCGCTGTTCGCTTAGGGCGAGGGGTGAAGTGGCTGACGCAACCCCGGATAGTAGTGAAGCGAAGCAGCTTGATGATGAACGGAGGTTTTGGCAGGCTGCCGGTCTCTGCACGGATGGCGTTCGAGAGCTTCGAGCCGAGCCGACTGCTACTACAGCACTAATGTGCCGCCATGGCAGTCGGCGCCGTGTCTTGCGTCAGCCAGCCGAGAGAGCTGTGGAAATGGCTGCTGCCATGTCACTGTCCATAGCAGGCGACATGCCGTGATAGATGGAGATGGTCCAATCATCGCTTGCGGATATGATAATGGATAATGGCCGGCTCGTACAGCCAAGGCGAAGATGCAGCGGAGATCTACTGGAGTGCAGTAGAATAGGCGGGGGCGGGGGCGGAGCGGTGATATGAATGAGTGGCGTGTCGGTTGTCGATCCCCCCTCCCGCGAAGATGCATACCGTATTATAGAGGCAATGCCGAGGACATGTTTGCGAGGCCACACTTCCTCTGTACTATGCTGCATTGCATCCAAGGCCGGCTGCGAAACCTCAGCGATATCACGGTTGATCACACCGCAGCCAATTACTGCCTCATTCGCCCCATCGTCATCACCTCTGCCACTTGTCTCCGCTGTCTGGAGCATTTCCGTTGTCGACTGCGCCCGCACACGATGTCAGGGTCGCACAGGCCGGAATAAGACAAAGCAAGACTGCCACTCCACTCCACTGCGGCACTGCCTCGACCAGCCCACCACTTCGACTTCGAACAAGCATCGCGCACGGCGAGGAGGGCTACAATTCTCCAATCTCCATACAGTACTGTACGTTCAGCAGCTGCATCGGCATCGGCATAGTCGCGCTGGCACTCCGTTGCACCGCATTCCTCCGGCGCGACCATCACTGTCGACAGCAGCTAGCGTGGTGTTTTGGGAATTGGGAATTGAGTGCATGCTGCAGCTCCGCCCCTAAACCTACGAAGCACGTTCCCTGCTTCTCTGACATTTTCCCCCCGACGGCGCATCGCTATCGCAGCGCATCGCATCGCATTATTGCGTGCACGAGTGGCCGTGGCCGTGGCCGTGGCCGTGTCTCAGGCTCGACTCCAACGCGCATGCGCTGCAGCGAATTCGGTTCCGAGCGACGCGCCGTAAACGGCCTCCGGGCCAATGACTACGTCGTACCTGCCCGGTTATGACAACTCCTATGGCGCCTTCGACAATGCCGACATGTCGCCCACTGCGGCCCACCCCTCGATGACCCTGCCTCCCAACAACGTCGCGGGCCAAAAGCGCAAGACTCCGCCCAATCCGTCAGGCACGAAGCCGGTGAAGAAGGTCAAGAGGGTTGGTCCGCGTGAAGACACCAAACCTGCTGCACTGCCCAATGGCGACGGCGATAAGGAAGGCGAAGGCGCGTCCAAGCCGAAGCGAGTCAGGACAGGATGTCTGACCTGTCGAGAGCGCCATTTGAAGTGCGATGAGGGTATGCCAACATGCAATAATTGCAAGAAGAGCAATAGGCAATGTAAACGAGGTATTCGCCTCAACTTCATCGACACCTGGACAGACAGACCGCCAACGTATGTCACATCGTGGGGCACGTCTGAATGGAAGGTCGAGTTTATGGACGAGTCTCGCGAGATCGCAAGCGAGTATGTTGGCGGAGCACAGCGATACAAAAAGCTGGAGCAACAGGAATCGCAAGCAAACCGGCCATTGGATTCTGCGATTGCTTTCGAGTTCCCCCCCACTGCCGCACAGGTGGCCCCGATGGCTCAGGCTCAGGCTCAGGCTCAGACTCAGCATCAGGCTCAGCCTCTACCACCAATCCAAGGCATGCTTCCAGACACATATCCCGACCCCAATCCTGCTCAGTCCAACATGAACAACATGTTTGATCCTCACAGCAAACATCTGGAGCCGAATCACTTCCAGCATCAAGCTCCACCCAACTCTGGTTCCACCACCCACTCACATTTCAGCAATGACACAGGTGTGCATCCGGGTTCCGTCAACAGTTTCGCAACTTTTGATGCTGACACTCTAGATCCAGACAAGGATAAAAAGGAGTATCTCAACAATCAGGAAGAAACTCTATTTATGCAAGTCTTTGTGGAGGAGGTCGGTCTCTGGATGGACAGCATGGACTCTCAGAAGCACTTTTCTCGTCTCCTCCCCTTTCACTCCCTGTCGGAGCCGATGCTGCTGAATGCATTTCTTGCCTGTGGAGCCAGACATCTAACACTGGTGAACCCGGTCTATACGGAGGAGAAGGCTTTGCATTATTACGATACAGCGACGCGATATCTGCTGAAGAATCTTCAAAATCCAAATCGAGACACTGTGGTGTGCGCAACCACAGCCGTCATTCTGAATGTCTACGAGATCATGTCTGAGCGTGCACTTCAACGCATGAACCACATCGCTGGAGCCCGCGCCCTCATCAAGGAATGCGGGTGGAATGCCCGAGCTCAAGGCATCGGAGCGGCTTGTTTCTGGCTGAATGTGGGTCTGGAAGTGCTATCGTGTTTGCACTTCAATTGGCAGGTCGCGTGGGACCCAGACGAGTGGGGCGTAGATATGGACTTTTCGCGCGAGCTTCACAATGGACGCGAGGAAGTGTGGACTCACAGGATGCTGTACATCGTTGCCAAAGTGTGCAACTTCCGCGCGACAATGCCACGTACACAAGAGCCGGATGCTCGAGACCAGCAGGTGAAAATGCAGCAGAGACACGAACAGTGGAGTCGACTGAAGGCGATGTGCAGTGCGTGGAACGATGGCATTCCTAGGACGATGCATCCCATGGCGTACCTCTACCCGTACCAGACCAGCTCGAAGTCAGTCTTTCCAGAGGTCTGGCTCGTTAAGCGAAGCACCATCGTCGCTCGCCTTTTCTATCACACAGCTATGCTGTTGATGGCACAGATCCATCCTTACTATGCTTTGGACAACCCGGAGATGTTCGACATGCAGAAGCAACACTCGCAGATGATATGTGGAATTGTTGCACACGTCAAAGATCGGTAAGTGTAATTTTCGAATATCAAGCTCCCAAATACTGACCCGTGCACAGCGGCGTTGCTTCTGTTGCCATCCGCTCCTTGGCTCATGCTGCGGAGTGTCTAACTGACCGCAAAGAGCAAGAAGAAGTCTTGGCGGTCTTCGAGAGGATCAATAAGGAGACTGGCTGGAGGATAGGATTCGTGTATAAGGAGCTGAAGGAGAAATGGGGCTGGAATGAGGAGCCTTCTCCGCAGCAAATGGCCCAGACTCACACAGCTGCTAGACAAGCACGAGAAGCTCAGGAGGCACACCAAAGGCAGATGCAGGAGCAAGCTCAACGAGCACACTCGTTGTCGATGCAACAAAACTTCGACTTCAACCAGCAGCAGAGCATGGCCGTGATGCATCAGCAGACATCGCCAACGCAGACGATGCACCCAACACCGCCGCCACCACGGCCCCGTCAGGCCTCGCAGTCGCAACCAGCGAAGCAGCGCATACCTTCTGGAATACCTAATCCCCTTTATGCCAAGGCAGACTTCAACTTGCCACAGCACCCATACCAGAATTTCTACGTGGCACCAAACCAGGCCATGCAAACCAATGCGTTTGGCAACCCGCAGGGCCAACCACTATATTACAACTAGCATTTCACACACGCAAGTATACAAATGCCACCAGCGAGTGGCCGAGCGGACTAAGGATTGGGCTGGCAGCCCTTGGATGAACGAGCAGGGAAGCAAATGTTTACGAATTGTGATTGTATTATTAATACGCGGCTTGGATGGATCTCTTTGGCATGATAGAGAAGGGCGTTAACAGGACTTTCACTTCAGCCAGAGATACCCACTGTACTGTTTACGAAGGCAGGCATGGCGGGCCAGTCTTTTTTAGACATAATGGAGGTTTTGTGATGCTTTTTGGTGTATGAATAATTACAATGCCATTTTCCAAACGCTTGAATGCTGTAGAATAGTAGGGCTCGATCTTGACCGAGCCAGATTTGCCGAGGCATCTCTGTGCCCATCCTCGATGCAGATCCTCCACACAACCAGGTACCAACTACCCACCTCTGCCGCATGCTGCTTGTCCCTCAACCAGACGATCATCATCATTTGATTCTGTGTATGTCGCAGCATGGTAGGCTCATAGAATCGTCTCCTTGCACCTCAATCAGACTCCTCTCGGCACAAGGATGGTTTGGGCCCATTCTCCGGAACCAAGAATTCAACCCACCCTCCTACTGCCGGAACCATGTCTTCCTCCAACAACAGCGATGGCTTTGCAGACATTGCAATCGTCGGCGACACGCTCAAAATCGTCTCGGATAAAGAAGAAGAACTCCTCGAACCCTACGCCAAATTCCGAGAATCACCTCTCAACGCCCTCCAAGAACTCGGCCTCCACGTTCTGGGCACAGCATGGCGATCCTACGACAAGGTCATCGGACCCGACATCTTCTACTCCGGCTTCAGCGAAAACATGAAGAGCAAAGTCCTGAAGCAACCCATGCTTCAACAACGAATTCGAGATCTGGCGAAAAAGAGAGTGGAAGTCGAGTTACATGAAGGTCTTCTGGGCGCTACAGGTCTGCAGGGTGAAGAGGATTCCCAGAGATTCCGACGCGCTCAGAGGAGGAAAGAATTGGAGGAACAGCTGAAAGATGTCGCGGACGAATGGACGGATAATATGATTTGTAAAATGGAATCTCGGACGTTCATTCGTGGCGCGTATTATCTTGCCACGCAATTGATTACGCGAGCGTATCATCAGGGAATCCATGTTTCGAGTCAGGAGGTTTTGCATTTGAGGGAAGTCGCGAAAGAGGCGGAGAGGAAGAGACAGAGTATTGTGTTCCTGCCGTGTCACAGGAGTCATGTCGATTATGTCTCGTTGCAGTTGATATGTTATCGCTTGGGACTGGCTTTGCCGACGGTTGTTGCGGGGGATAATTTGAATTTTCCACTCGTCGGCCCTTTCTTGCAGCATGCTGGGGCGATGTGGATTCGCAGGAGTTTTGGTGATGATCAGTTGTACACGACTTTGGTGCAGAGTTATATCGACACGCTTCTGGAGAATGGGTTCAATTTTGAGTGTTTTGTCGAAGGCGGGAGGTCGAGGACGGGAAAGTTGTTGCAGCCGAAGTTTGGGATTCTGAGCTTTATACTGGACAGCGTGCTCAGTGGACGGGTAGAGGACGCTCTCATCTGTCCGGTGTCGACGCAGTATGATAAAGTTATCGAGGTGGATTCATACATCAGCGAGCTTTTGGGGCAGCCGAAGAAGAAGGAGGATCTCTCGCAGTTCTTGTCTGCGTCGAATGTTTTGTCGCTCAAGCTCGGACGGGTCGATGTCAGATTTCAGAAACCTTGGAGTTTGAGAGAGTTTATCAATGAGCAGAGGAGCCGGCAAAGTCTGAGCACTGAAGTCATGTATGATGCGGCCACGAAGCGACGACTACTGACAACTTTCGGGTACAGGGTTTTATCAGAAATCAACGATGTGTCCGTGGTGATGCCGACAGCTTTGGTTGGCACTGTCCTCCTGACCTTATCTGGAAGGAGTGTTGGCCGTAAAGAGCTCATGAAGCGAGTGATCTGGCTAAGTCTGCGTGTCAGAGCACAAGGCGGCCGTGTTGCTCATTTCGCAGAAGACACCGTCGAAGCAGTCGTTGACAAAGCTCTGGGTGTTCTGGGGCCGAACCTCGTTGGCAGAGTGGAAGATCTACCCGAAGAGATGTACTACGCCGAGGACCGCTTCCAGCTCAGCTTCTACAGAAACATGACCATCCATCTCTTCATCTCACAGGCCTTGGTGTGTGCAGCCATGTACACTGTCGTCAAGCTCGGCGGCGATTCACGAATATCATATCAACACCTCTACGACTATGTCTTCTTCCTCTCCCAACTCTTCAGAGAAGAATTCATCTTCCCCACCTCACCGCTCGAAGAGAATCTACAAACCACTCTCCAGGGCCTCGTCAAAGACAACGTCCTCACAACCATGCAAGACCACACCGGCAAGATCGCCTTCGTCACAATCAGCCCAGCCGAAAAAGACCTCGACATGGAAAACTTCGACTTCTACTGCTACCTCATCTGGCCCTTCATCGAAGCCTCCTGGCTCGGCGCCATCAGCCTCTTCATGCTCCGCCCCCCACCCACCCAATCCTCGACAGAATCCTGGCTCGACCTGAAAACAGTCCAAGACAAAGCCCAACTCCTCGGCAAAACCTTATACCACCGCGGCGACCTGGGCTACTACGAAGCCGTCAACAAAGAAGCGCTGAAAAACGCTTTCGCTCGTTTCGAGGAAGAAGGGATTTTGATCGTCACCCGTCCTACCAAGGTTCAGAATTCTCCTCAACGCGTGAGGTTGGATCCCGAGTGGTTGCCGGCTGAGGGGGTAGAGACTAAGGGGAGGCTGTGGGGGTTTGTTGAGAGGATTAATCTTTGTCGTCGTGATTATCGGGGGAAGAAGGAGGGGGGGAGTGTTAGTAGGAGGGTTCTCGGAGTTGTGGGGTTGATTGGTATGGGGCTTTGGGAGACTGCGGCTGGGGAGGGGGTTGGGGAGAGTACTAGGAGGAGTAGGAGGAGGAGGTTAGGGGTGGGGGGAAGGGAGAAGTTGTGAAGTAATTAATAGATAGATAAATGGATAAATGTGAGCACATTAGCGGAAATTGTTGCTTGTTCCTAAGACAGGATAATCTTTAGAATATGTATGCTAGTCGCCATGCGATACTGTTCCAAGCGATCGGTACTATGATCCAAGGGTCTGATGGTTCGCACGTTCTCAGACTGGCAGGGGGTTCAGTCGCTAAAACTTAGTGCTATTCTCAGCCGAAAGCTTCAATTTGCTAGACGATGCTACGGTATAGACTTCTTCGCGTCAATAATTGCTTCTATATACAACAACGTCGCTATCGGAGCTCTGCACCATAGGGATACCTACCGGAGCCCTGCCCAAGGCTCGCTGTATACAACTCAGTGCCCCCTCGCCCACACCCACACCCACACCCACACCCCCTCGCAAATGTCCCGCAAGACATGCACTCCGCGAAGAATCGTCTTCGTGCATCCAGACCTGGGCATTGGAGGCGCCGAGCGCTTGGTGATCGATGCAGCAGTCGGCCTGCAGAACTTGGGGCACCATGTCACCATCTTAACGTCCTACTGCGATCCGGGACACTGCTTTGAGGAGGCAAGAGACGGTATGTTGTGATACAGAGCATTTCATGCCATGCTGCGGCCGAGGATGCTACGAGGACAAGGCTGAGACACAACCCAAGGCACGCTTGACGTACGAGTTCGTGGAGATGCAATGTTTCCTCCTTCTCTTGGCGGACGCTTCAGCATCTTGTGTGCAATCCTTCGACAGCTGTCGCTCGTGGCAAGCACAGCACTCGCGTCCTCGGAGCTCAAGCAGTTGGAGCCGGATGTCATCATCGTTGACCAGCTCAGCGCCTGCATACCCTTCTTCCGCCTGCTTTACCCGAGAGCGAAGATTCTGTTCTACGGTCACTACCCCGATCTGCGACTGGTCAAGGATGAACCCGGCCTACGCAAGCATGTGAAGCGATTATACCGCATTCCTTTCGATGCCATCGAAGGATGGAGCACGGGTTGTTCCGACAGCATTGTAGTCAACAGCAAGTATACGAGAAGTGTCTTCAGATCTGCTTTCCCGGCTATGAAGGCGCGCGATCTAAAGGTCGTTTACCCATGCGTCGATACCAGCCAAAATGCGCCAACTGACAGCGCATCCGACATCTGGCCAACCAAAACACTTCTTCTCAGCATCAATCGCTTCGAGGGCAAAAAGAACTTGGATCTTGCCATCAAAGCATACGCGGGACTGTCGCCTTCCGAGCGAAGCAAAGCGAAACTCGTCATCGCTGGGGGCTACGATCCGCGCAATGCCGAGAATGCGCAATGTCATAAACAGCTCCAAGAGCTTTCAGATTCACTGAAATTGACGCATGCAACATTCAGACCGAAAGATACAGCATTGACAGATCTTGCTGCCGCTGATGTGGACCTACTGTTCCTCCTTTCTATACCAAATGAATGGAAGACGCGGCTTCTGCAAACCGCTGGACTCTTGGTGTACACCCCCACCAATGAGCACTTTGGCATCGTGCCGCTGGAAGCGATGCTCGCCGGAGTGCCCGTGCTGGCAACCAACACTGGAGGACCTCTGGAAACCATATATCACGATCGCACTGGCTGGCTTTGCAGGCCTGATAAGGTCGAAGAATGGACCGCGGTGATGCGCAAGCCATTGATACCAGCAAGTGCCGACAGACTCAAAAAGATGGGCGAAAGCGGACGATCGCGTGTATTAGCGGAGTTCAGTCAGACTAAGATGGCCCAGGCATTCGACCAGGAAGTTGAGCAACTAGCACGAAGCACAGCGCCGCGGCCAAAGATGACGCCGGACTGGGTTCTCTTTGCACTTCTCACCGCTGTGATGGCTGTCGTCGTAGGCTACGCCATGATGAGACTCACGCTGTTCTTGCTGCCCGACCCAAGCACTGGCAGACAACTGGCCGACATGGCGCAGACCACCGCTCGACTAGAGCTTTGAGTACACATGCAATTCGCCGTTACATTTGGGATCTCCATGACCCATGGGAGCAACAATGATGCGAAAACAGCCGGCCAAGTGCTGGTCACTGGCGGGAATACTTCGCTTGGAGCCAGTGTCTTGCGGGGCTGCATTTTAAGCTCAGGGCAAACCACATGGTTCGTAAGTGCCGTCGGCTGTCGCCACCGACACATGACAGCACGAGGCAAGGAAGTCTATTTGCACAGACCTCTTCGACAGCAGTTTGCCTGACGGGCGAGTCATCTTTCTTCGGACAAAGACCTGCCGAATGCCTTGGACGACTTTCAAACTGCCGCTCGCCAAGCTCACGAGAAGCACCAGCCACTCGAGATGTTGCTAAACGATTTTCTACTGGCGCATTGCAGCTTCAAAGCCATGAGTCTTGCAAGCATGCACCTGATATGAGACCCGGAGCTGTTCATCGCTTGCTTGATACACCTCCGAGCATGAAGCTTTGGCCATATTCTGCAAACTGTTGCTGCCACGTTCCTGCACTGTTGCGCATGCTCGTCACAATCATGAAAGCCAAAGTCCACCCCGAAAGTCCTTCTCGATCTGGGAACAAGTCTCGAGAAGTGATGCTCCGCATGTTCTGTCAGGTCGTCATTCATTGCTAGGAGCCGATAACACTCACCTCGTAGCTTTACTAATATCTAGAATGCCTCCAACATTCGTCTCGACATCCTTTCTGCATCATGGGTCAATTTGCTTTCTTTCTGCTTGCGGTAGCGAGTATCGCTCAGATTACTACAGGATCTCCGACTCTACGGCACATATCTCGTGAGGCAGATGCCGCTGCGGGACTTGAAATTGCACAACATGTGCTCGCGCTGCGACAAATTTCCGGAACTGCTCCAAGCTCAAGATGTACTTGGAACCAAAGTCACAGGGGCGGAAACCCATCACTGACATCTGTATTAGTATTATCTGTTGAGCGCCAAACGCAAATCTCGGGAGCATCGCCTGCAGCGTTGAAGTCTCGTTTGCTCGGAGCTGGATATGGCGTGGACATAAAGTTCGGCCGTGAGGACCACACGCTCATCTTTGACACTGGTTCAAGCGACATGTGGCTCGTGGCGAAAGGGTTTGTGTGCGTTGGTCCAGATAAGAAGCGTTTGTAAGTCGTGGCTGCCACACTCGATGCCCCTCCTTGCCAGGAAACCCAATCTAGAGCTTCACTTGAGAGTTCGAGCAGCTGACATCATGGGTTGGCTTTGCTTAGACCTGCCTACATATGTAGCATAGGGCAGACATGCGACTCCGGATTCAGCGGTGGAACGATACCCAATGTTAACTTTAACCTCACATATGGCAATGGCGAATTTGTGCTTGGTTCACTGGGCTATGAGACAGTCACTGTTGGCGGTGTTACTGTGCCCATGCAAGAGGCTGCACTCGTGAACTGTGGATTCTGGATGGGCGACAACTCGACCAGTGGCTTGATGGGCTGGGCCTTCCCCGCGTTGACCAGCGAATATCCTGGCACTGATCCCTCGAAAGATAATCGGAAGATCACCGGAGTGAAGAACTACAACCCATTCATCTTCAATGCCGTCGAACAAGCGGGAGTGAAGCCCATGTTCGGATATGCCTTTTTAAAGAGGACGGAATCGCAAGACTCCCAAGCTGCCGGCCAGCTCGCTATCGGTGGAGTGCCCAACGTGGCACATGGGCCATGGACAAGCACACCGATA